GATTTGGTGGATGGAGGGGGTCAAAGTGGGCAGGCCTTCATGAATGCATAAATGTGTGATGACTCTATGTCTCTGACTTGACCTTGTTTCTGACACATGAGGCTTTAGAAAAACTATGGCCTTCAATATTTCAGTGAAAAGTGATTAGATTTTAGATTAATAAGATTCTAGATTACTAGAAAACAATTTATGTTACTATATACCAGCAAGATTGTTATATTACAGGTATGGAGACGATACTGACATATTTTTTTATTTACTTCTCCTGCAAGAGCTGAGATGAGTCAGTGTGACCAAGTTAGAGTTCACTGACCCACTATTCAGTCCTTCAGAAGAAAATTAACCGGCACTGGTACATCTCATCCTAACTCATCTTTACATCTTCATGGGCCTGTTTTTCCCCACCCCAGATATAGCCTTTAAAATGTAGACATCCTCAAAGTCTCTGTCTTCTTTCTATTTACTCCAAGACGTGCAGAGACACGTACACTGACACACACATACTGACATATTTACACACACACATACACAGCAGATAAATTAAATAACTTCCCTCCCTGGACTCCCAGGGGCACTAACTGAACTCTGACCTGGTGTTAAGTCTGGTTGCCATGGTTACAGCCAACTGGTAATAGGTTGTTTGTCAGGAGTCAGTGGACTTGACATTGCTGAGGGACAAGGGTGGAGGAGGATGAAACACAAAGGGCATGTGAAGGTTGTGAAGCTTGCCAGACAGCAGACACACCTCTTGTATATACCAAAAGGGCTCGGGCTGTGTTTATTTTCTCACCTATGAAGATAAGCAGGACCCCAACTGTGACCTGCAGACAGAGGGAGATGCTGATTAGGGTGATGATGGGGGTGTAAAAAGAGAAGTTTGGCCCCTGCTCCAGCACAGCCTTTAGCTGGGAAGCATTAGCCATCAGTAGAGCCACATCCAACATGCTCTCAGCTGCACTCTTCTTATTGGCATAGTGGTTGATGTTAAGAGGGGCTGGGCTGTCGGGCCAAGCATCTGGACGAGAGGCCTGGGGAGAGAAGAAAGTAACTGGCACAGAGATCATGTTGATGGCTTTGAGATAACGCCTGAAAGTAGAATGCCTGGAGATAAACAGAAATGCATGCTCTGTGCTGCTGCGTCTTGTTCTCCCAACAGAGCAACAAGGCAGCATGTTGATGAGACTAGCAGTAATTTTGTGCTTCCTGTGCAGTGATGGTGAGGATCTGGTTATCATTCTGACCTAATTAGCACAAAGCGCAGCCATTATAGAAGAGTGACCTATGAAAAACAGAGCCATTAGTACAGCAAAGAGATACTGACACGCTGGTAACAGACCCATTAAAACATGGTGAACATGAGCAAGTCAGTGTAAGCGGTGTTCCACTCGCTATGGTTTCAGATGATCAAATTCAATCTGCACATTTTCTTGTTCTCCGAGCATATCATACTGTGTGTGTTGCTGTGAGATCCCTATTGCACTCATTTTGTTGACTTGTGACAGTGTCTGTCTTGTGGTTGAAAACATAATAATGGGTAAGCTGTGACCCTTCAGTTATATCCTGCTCATACACCCCCGTCCCTTGAAGCAGGATAACAGAGTTAGCTAAATAACTGCACTGACTAAAGCAGTATTCAGCTAACTCACCCCAGAAAAGGCTCTTTTTTGCAACATCAGCATCAATCCTGCTTTGTGAGACAGCCCTGGTGATTGTTTAACATTTAGATAACAAAATGCATCTAAATGCACAGTATTTCATGTGTTATATTACATATTCTATACACCAGGGACTTGCTGAGTGATCAATAGTTGATTCAAGCATTAAAGAAAATGAATCTTAGTTTTAAGTTGAATACTACAACCTATTGATTCTTTTGTGGGTGTTGATTATGTAATAAAAGCACACTAGCTAGTGTTAGTTAGTGGGTGTGTGTGTGTGTGTGTGTGTTTGTCTACTCCATCCCAGTGGCCTCTGCACCGGCACCATTAAGAGAAAAACATGTTCTGGGTCAGCAGGTGGTGGATAAACAGTCTGCTAGTTGATAAATAAATAAATCGCTCTCTTTCAAAATGATAAAAAAACATCTTCCTTTGGATGCACTGCTGCTGAATGAACACCCAATTGGAACTACTTTTCAGCAATGAATGGCTAACACCTGAGCATCATCACTAAAAGACTTGGTCGTGTCAAGGCCTAAAACTCGCTCACCCACTGCAAACCTGAAATAATCAGCAATGCTCACAGTATCTTCCTCGACACTGAAGCCTTCCCCTTTTCTCACAACACACCCCTGCAGCTGCAGAGAGCATGGTTTGTCGGGGATTAACCAAACCACAGAGCTGGTACGATCTGTCTTCCCTCTGCTCCAGGGATAGAGACTAAAAGAGAGAAAAGAAGAGCTGTACCCTCTAATTTGCTACGGGGTAGGCTACAGTGAATTACAATGTCTTTAGGAGATTCACAACAATCAGCTGGCATGGTTAAATTGATGTATGAGGGGGAAGTACAAACTGCACAGAAGGTGTGGTAGTGGGGGTTGGAGAAGAGCTACTCTGGTTGCAGTAATTATCCTGATGAGTTTTTTTTTTCAATCCTGTGATAACTACTGGACAAGCCATGTTTAATTCTCTTAATAAGCCATTGCTTTTTAGGACATGGATTACACGTGTAACTGGCCAAGTTCTTCATCTGGCAGAGTACCTAATATAATTTTAGATTTTATCATTTGGCATTGCTTCATGTGAACACTGCAGAGACATCCCGTCAACATCCAGCAAACTTAAAAAAAAAAAAAAAAAGGCTCCATGAGCTTTCTCCAAATCTTTTTCACTTGGAGCCATAATGCCCTGTGGTAAGACTCATAACAAGGAATTAAGCAGCTCTTCAAAACATGTTTCCCTAGATTTCACGGGGAAAAGGCAATGTGGTGTGGTGTAGTGCCTTTGTGACTGTGATTTGTGCCAAATGCCACAAAATGGCACACTGTCATGACGTGTCAGGGTCAGCCATTCTGCTCTCAAACACTGACACAGGCTTTTCAAAGACAGCCCTTTATCCCAGAGTCAACAGACCACAGTGAGATAATGCTCGTTGTGAGATCACAGGTTGGAAACGTGTACTCAGTATGTCTAGAAACACAGCAGCTGATTTTTCTCCAAAATTCAAACATAAAGAACTCCTTTTGACGTATTGTATTGTGTGTATAGTAGGCCAAAAGTAAAGGCCACCTACTCAGGCAGTCCTAACTTTTTTCAGGATTAATCCTGCTGTCTACACATATCATATGGCTGAGAACATAAGATAACAACTAATCACAGCAGAGGAGACAATGTAGAACAATATAGGCCATATATAGTCCATGGTATTTCACACTGTGCTGTCGTGAAGGAGAGTGCAGAAATCCTTATTACAGGATGCATCTGAGCTAGGCTTTCATTTGGATAACACCTCAAGTTGAAAAACATGCAAGACAACCTACATTTGCATATTTGCACTGACTTTTCTTTTCCCGTTTGAGAAACAGAGTGCTTGTCAGTCACCCAGGCATCTATTGTTATTTTGCACATACTAAAACGAATGGTTCTCATTAAGTCAATCGTTCTGTACTGGTCCTAGGTTTCAATGCTTATTTTTGTGATGAATTATTCACACTGCGTTCCTTGTCTGAAATAGACTCAGGGGACACATTGAGGAGAAAAAAAGGGAGGAAGATGAGGAGGGGAGGGAAGACGGAGAGAGACGGAAAAGTTGTTTGAATCTGTTTTAACTCTCAGTTATGCGTCACTGAGGAATAGCTGACTGTTTCATACAATACTTTTTAGCATATCCTGCTTTCTGCAGAATCATATCAGGTATCACTATTATTACAGTTATAAGAAAAGCAGATGATTGAAGTAATTTATTCATAGAGGACCCCTTCGAAGGATTAATGTTGTGCTGCAAAGTGCTAAGAGACGTTCGGTTATATAAGCTGAACAACTACATAAATGAATTAGTAGATACATAATGAATAAATACCACCTAAACAACCTGTACTGCCTGTACCATAATTAGGAAATAAAGAATATTTTCCAGTTTTAGAATTATGTTTAATATTTATTGATATTTACATAAAATGTGAAAGCACAGTAGAAAAAAACACATAAAGCAGAGAGAATAGGGACATAGTCACAACAGTTTACTGTCACTTGTCGAGTGAGTAGTAAAATGCATCTTCTAAACAGGATTATAAAGGAAAGCTGAAGGTGGTAGAGAGAGAGGGGATGACACACAGCAAAGGGCCAAAGATATGACCCAAACCCATGTCCCCTGCAGCATGGACCCAGCCACTGCACATGGGGCCCATCTCCACCAGGTGAGCAAACTAGGCAAAGCCCTAAACAGGATTTTAAAAGTAAAGGAAGAAGAAAATCTCATACTGGGTTGTTAACTGTCAGTCTGCGGGGGAAACATGAAAATGCATGATCACTGTTAGATTGTAGCTGAACAATGGAATGGAGAGGAGTAATTGGGCTGAAAAACTACAGGGCCTGGAGGTAATTTACGGAAAGATCAGGTTAAGCAAGATTCAAACGGATGCCTTTTCCTGCAGTACGTAAAAAATAAAAGACAGCTTCTTTACTTCCACAGCTGCCTACTACCCTTTCACTCACGAGGAAATACAGTTGTGTCCCATCATAAATAATTATCTTAATGTCTTCCTCATAGCTAGTTGCAGTGCAACTTCTTGTTGGCTGCAATTTCTAAATTCCTGATATTGAACCTAAACCTTAAACCTAATTGAATCATAAAATAGATTAAATTATACATAAATAGACTTCTCATTGTGTATTCAATGGCCTACTAAAGTTCTGGCTTACTTCCAGGCAGAAGAAATGAACTCATTCAACTTGCACACCTAATCCTAAACTTTACCCCCTTTTCCCACATTGTCACACTAACTGATTACAGCTAAGTTAAATACCTGCGTGTCAGTTACTGTGAGAGTATTGCTTTGTACCACTTAGTTCTGTATCTGACATGGAGAATGCTCTTTCCAGAAACAATGCAGGACACCACTTAAAGACACGTTGAGACCGTGCATATATTATTTAGTTAATTGAACTTGCTTCTGTTCAGCAACATGATGAAAAAGCAAATGAACTTGCATCTGTAACTGCATGGGTGTGTGTGTGTGTGTTTCCCCTCCTTTTGTTTTTTTTTTCATACATCAGCACTTCTTTGCTTTCCATCCATCATGTCCTCTCAGCAAGCTCCCTCTCTCACTCACCTCAAACACTGGCCCTCTTCCAGATGAGGATCGACCCAACTGTAAATCTAATTTCCATGATTCTCTGTAGGGCTTTTAGTTTTACAGCCTTACACAGTGCAAAGCAAACATGGCTGTTTCAGAGCATGGTCTATCGCTCAGAAAATCTCATTCTAGAGAAAGTTGCAACGCAAAACCTAATGATCATCAGAAAAAACAAAAGGACATCCTCAAGAATGTGCTAGTGCTGCACTGAAATCTGACACCGAATCTGATTGGTCTTAGATTTCAGTGTAAAACAGGCACAGATATTAAAAGAGTGTGGAAAGTCTGCATATAAGATCTTCAAACAACCATGGATTGATTCCATTCTTATCGACTCACAGTGGAGGAAGACACATTGTAAATGAGACCAGTTGCTAATTTTATTGAGCGTAAGGGTATTACGTTCTGCATCTGTTGGCTGAGCTCTGACAGCGACAAGACAAGGAAGTACCTCTGCCTGCCAGGGTCTCTCTCTCTCTCTTGCTTCTCCCTTCTTCCTCAAACACACACACACACACACACACTTACATGTCCATCTGAAATTAAATGGTGCTATTAAGACAGTGCATATGGAGATGACATAGCGAAGTCCATCTCCTTGCCCTGTAAAACTGGATGCAGCTCTGAACCACCATATATTGTAATTACTTGTCAAATGGCAACTTCAATCACCACATAAAACCCAATAAACACTCACTGTCCTGCAACAATCTAATTGTGCCATGAAATAGGATGACATTACGTAAAAGTGAAACTATGTGTGTGCATGTGTTTGTATGTGCATTTTGACCGGGGAAGTGGAAACAAAGAAGCACATTCAGTATTTATAAGGTCACTCAGGTGCCAACAATGTTTCACTCTTCAACTGAACCAGACTGTCACCTGATAAGCAGGCCCGAAACAGACATTTCTGTTTAAATGTTTCCTTTTTTTTGACTTGTTTCTGTGTGGATGTGCAGTCTATCCCATTCAGCATCATTTCTGGTCTGCAAAGTTTAGAAATTGTTTCCCCCCCTCATATAGATTACATTTAATATGAGAAGAGGTCACATGGGGTGGATGCTCCAACATGATCACCTTACATAAAAATACAATAACACCGTAAACTATGGCTTTTACTGTGGCTATTACCACAACTTCACAACTTTAGTATTCATTGTATGACTGCTGCATTGAATTCTCTTCAATTTTCCAGGTACTAAATGTGTCCATTTCTAAGCACTTATTAAGCACGTTTCCCCTGTGACTGGATATAGTTGTTTTCATGAAAGCAAGATTAAAAAATCCCCTTGGTGTGCAGACAAACATTCTAATTTCTTGCAGTTGTCACAACTTAACATACCAATCTATTCTACTTCAAATCAGTCACATATATAAATATAGCCTAGTATGGCATTTACCTGTTTCCCTTTTAAAAATGGTTTCAAATATCTTACCTCAGTCCCACTTCCCCTGTTACTGCTGCTGATGTTCATCATCATCTCCCCATGCGTGTGTGCTACTGCACCTCCGCTGCAGGCTGCAGCTCAGAGGAAATTGAGCTGCAAAGTGTCCTGTTATACGGGAAGAGAAGACGAGACCTGCAAGCATATCGCCTACTTAACAGATGCACATGCACCTATTCTGTCATGTGCCACAGCAATGATGCATACATTTTCATTTATCTTTTTTTGTTGTTGTTGAGGAAATTGTGTTGTACAGCAAGCTGTTGAGCCGTGAGTGAGCAGCAGAGAGAAAAGACACGTGATTGGACAGAGTTGGTTGAAGGGCGTGAAAGAACTGTATACAGACAGATAATAGGCTTTTTAAAAAAAAAAAAAAAAACGAGGAATAATCATTTAACCGCTTTGTCGTTCACTTGCACTGGAGTCTTTGTAGGTCTTTTTTTTTCTCTCCATGTGAAATATAACATGTGTCACTCTACAGCAGTATGAGCAGGCTCCTCCGTGGTGTCCCAGCGTGCAGTGTTATTGGACGGTCCCCCCTCCACTCGTTACCAGGGGCGTGGAACCAAGCGAGCTGAATGGGGAAACACATTTGTGTGTCTCGCCGTTTAATCTAATGGGGGGAAGAGAGACGGAGGCAAGCGAAAATAGTTGTCCGAGTAAAATTAATTGCAAAAGGAAGAGGAGGGTAAAAAAAAATTCCCCTGTGTGTTAAAGCGGCCCGACTGGTTTTATGTGTTTTTTGGTAACTACCCGCTCCGCATACAGACAAGCAGCCGCGGCGGCATCGTGTGTAGCTGCTGTATCTGCAACCCGAAGAGAGAGGGATGCGAGGACTTGGAAGGAGATAGATACAACGGATTTATCTATTTTATTTTATTTTTCTTCTTGTCACTGTGGGGTTTGTGTTCAGACTTGCTTGAATTTCTTTGCGTTTTTTTTGAGGGGGGGGTGGTTAGCTCTCGTACGTGTAAAAAAATGGGGATAATATGCAGATAGGGCGTTTTTTTTTTTTAATAAAAAGTCCACCTTTTTTCTGCCGTGGACAGTCGGCTAACGTTAGCGACCTGGTAGGTCTGCAGTGTCCGTGTATCGCTGTGGAGTTGTTTTATTAGCCGAGGTGTTTGGTCGGTTTTCATCGCTTTTTTGAACTCGGTAAGTCGTGTCACATCTGTTAATAATAGCATGTTTTTTTAAAAAAAGACTAAGCTAACCTTCAACCATTCAACGTTAGTTTTCTGAATTAACGTTAAGAGCCTGTTTTGGCTAGTCTTGGCCGATGGTGGCTTCTTCCTTAACGGTGTGTTTTTAACTCATGTGCTCGTCTTTCCATCCACCTGCTTTTATTGACGCCAACTAAACTTAAAACTCCGTAATGACTTGACGCCTTTAAACCCGATATACAGCTTCAGCGTCGCCCCCACACGCACCAGTATTTGTTGGGGTTTTTCTGTCTACTAACAATTTTAATTTTAATTATTTTTTTGCAGCCTTTGATATCGGATGAAATCTCGTCTATGTCATCCATCCCGGTGTTGTTAGGGGCCTCTGCTGGCAAACTGCGTCACCGAGTGGGCGCTGCAGGTACTCATCTCTAAATCTGCATGTTGGGAAGTCTGGCCATGGCACGAATGACCTGGAAACCAAAGTGACTGAACTTCTCAATCACCATGGAGCCGGAGGCGAGTTCAAACTCCGAGCCCCACCAAGAACCGAAATATCCATCTGTACCCAACTCTCAGTGTGAACTGGGCGTGAATATGTACGAGGCCATGGGTGATGGAAATGTCAATCTCGTGGACTCAGTAGTGAGAGGTGGGAGTGACCCCAGTGCATGTTCTTCCTCCAGCTATCAGAGGATTGTGCATCAGAGATTCATCAGGAGAAGTCTGTGGTTCTCGGACACGGATGAGCAGGCCTACGAAGCACCTGAATGTGATAACAGGAGTAAGATCCTGAACATAAACCTGCGGACAATAGTGGACAGGACGCGGGGGACTAGTGGCGGGATACAGGAAGGTTCCAGCACTGAAAGTCAAGGTGGGCAAAAAGAGAGTGCAACGGAGAGCGCCAGTGCCGATGAGGAGAAGGAGAAAGGTGGAGATGCGTTAAATCTTACGTGCAACGATGCTGGCAAAATGGCTATCAAGGCAGCCAGTGAGGAGAATGAGGAGGAGGCAGAGATGAAAGCAGTCTCCACATCTCCGGGAGGAAGATTTCTCAAATTTGACATAGAGCTGGGGAGAGGCTCCTTCAAGACGGTCTACAAGGGCCTGGATACTGAGACCTGGGTGGAAGTGGCCTGGTGTGAGCTTCAGGTAAAGTACTGAAACTATCCATCACAATTTACAGTCTCTGTCTGTGACACCAAAGCACCGTGTCGGCGTCATTTAAGTATACCCAGCATCCTCTATACCACCCTTTTTTTTTTTTTCCCAAATTCTTGTACTTGCAGATGGGCGTAGGAGACGCACAAAACAATAAATGTAAATGTATTGTAATATCTATCTTCACGTTTTTGTTTTTCAACACAAGAAACAGATTAAATTTCATAGAAACGGGGGAATGCCAGACCTCCCTCTCTGTGCTCCCCCCCTCTGTCCGTGAAGGTTCACACATCACGCTTCTATAATGGTGATGTCTTCAGGGAGCTGTCAGTCAGCCAGAGTCTCGTGGGGAAAGTCCACTAAGTTTCAAATGGGTTACCACTACATTTTAAATGGTTTACACAGGAAAAGTGATTGACAAGCGCTAGCTGCTGATGTGGAGCCCCATCCCACCACTGAAGCATAGCGATCAGCAGTTTTGCAAATGCACGAGGAGAGTCTATCTTGTCTTGCATTACACAGACACAGGAAAATCACCGGCTTAGACTGTGCAAAGGTATTAGCTAATTATTTCCGTCCTTTGGAGACTGCAGCAGAGATTACCTCTCTCTCTCCCTCTCTCTCCCAGGAGGCTTAAGGGGGACTACAAGTAAGCATGACTGCCCCCCCCCCCCCAGAAAAAAAAA